CAGCAGTGTAAGAAATTACAGGGTAAATGGACCTATTAGACTACCTACTAAGTATACTGTCCATAAAGAAACAGCTTGTGTAACAGTCAAATGATGTATCATATGGCACAGTCACTCTGAATCCCAAAGCTGTCCATCTTTGGAGGATGTAGCATCTCTTAGTGAAAAATAAGCCAACACACAGATTTCAAGGCAGATGGAATGCCAGCTTCCAGGAACTCAGTTTGCAGAAGATTAAGGGGCAAATAATTGGTTCTTTTCCACAGCTGGACTGCAGTTAGTCTTGGAGTGCCAAAACAGAATTTGAAAGGGATTCATGGCAGATTCTTTTTTGCTCTTAAACTTTTCTGTACTTTCCACATAGTCATCATTTCAGCAAAATCAGTCCATCTGTTTCACTACCCAAACCAGAAGGTGCTGATGTTTTCCTTTTCCATTAAAAGCACAAACACATGATGTATGAAAAATTCATAATGAGAATCAGTGGTGATACAGCCAAAGTAAGAAAACAGAAGATACCATGGAAATCTCTACATAATATCCCCAAAAGTGAGAAAGCAACAGTGACTCAGTAGCCTGGTATTGTGGAAACCTAAAGCAAGCCTCCTATGAAAAGCATCACTAACATGAATTTTGTAACTTAACAATTTGACTTCAATAAACCAGTTATTTTCCTTTATAAGTAAAATCAGTCTTTATTTCTGAAAGATCAAAGATTAGGATAAAATTATTAGATCCAGGTCTCAGTTGTGCCATACTGAAGTAATTAGAAGTAAGGAGAAAGTGTGACCGTGTAAGAGGAAGTAGACAAGACAGGGCTTGTAGTTCTCTCTTGGGGCTCTGGCGCTAGTGCAATGTTTGCCTTGGAAAGGCAGACATTTCCAGCTGTGGCACTACTTCAGAATAACGTAGGGTCTTTTAAGGGATGCCAAGGTGTGTTCACAAAGAGCTTTGGAAGTCCTGGATGAAAGAGGAAAGTATTAACTACAGTAGAAATTACTTTAACGAAAAACAGGACAGCTATCCCAGGAATATGCTGTATGATTTTCTTGGGATAACACACAAGTCATTATACATAGAATAATAAGGGGTTTTGTTTTTTGTTTGTTTGTTTTGCTAGAGGAAAAGGCAATATTCCAGAAGATGTTTCTGATGCTCATAGACTGAATTTCAGAGCTATACCTTTTGCAGCTCAGTGAGATTCAGTCTATTACCTATGCTGCAATTATTGCTTATCTTTCTTCCTATTCTATCTTCTTTGCTTTAACTTTAGTATTTTAGTTGCTTCTATATAGTATACATAGAAGTATTTCCTTCTTATGCAAGAGTTCTGAAGTCCTTAAATTACTGGTTGTCAGAGGTTTACAAGGGAAAAGCAAATTCAAAAAAATTTCCCTAAATATTTGCTACTGATCGCTGTCAGAGAAGGATGTTCAACTAGGTGAACCACTGGAGTCACCTATTACAGCACTTCTTTATCATTTATCAGCCCAGAACAGTGGCCTTCTATGTCTATTTCAGACACATTAATTCAATAAAACAAATAATCACTTCTGGATTTTTTGCCTCAATATTCAGAAATATATTGGTAGGCCTATTGGCAAGCAGCTTAAAGGAGAGAGCAGGAGTAGCAGTAAAAATCCAAAATAGCACTTTGCTGCTACAGAGTAATCACAATAAAAGCTTGTTTCAGACAAAACTTAGCTCTAACCAAAAAAGCCAGTTCTATGATGGGACTCCACCTCCTGGCAGGTAAATATTTTTGTATCTTTTAGGTATCTTCACACTCTACTGACAAAATCAAGTTTTCACCCGGGTTTGCCAGTACATGGTAACAAGCTGGATTCTATTCTGCATCCTGTGTTAAGTAGGCAGGCAAAACAGAAATGACCCGTCATTCATGCAGCTCAGAGACTCTCTTTGAATACTCTTAAAGCATGTCAAGTTTGCAAAGCCTGGAGTTAGAAATTCTGCATGAAATTGTAGACAATTTGAAAAAAATAGCCAAAGTCCCACTGGCTCTTTAACTTGTAAACAAAGCAAGTTATAGATACAGAGGTCAACGGAAAAGATTACTGAGGCTGACAATGCCATTTTCACAATTCTAAAGCTACAAATTACAGAATAATTACTTGCAGGAAGAGCCATGTAACTTTAAATAGTGCTGTATAAAACCAGTTCTGATGGGATGACTACAAGTAACTCACTCTTACTGTACATGTCCTACTACAATAAATCCACCGATGAAAGTTAGCTTCCTTCTGTCATTGTATCCTCTAAACACACATACGCTCTGCAATGATTGTTATATTTCATTGTTTAACTCAAGAAAAGAAATCTGAGCAATTCTGCAGTATGGAGATGCAAGATGCACTTTATTTTGATCTAAAGATTCTTTAAATCCCTTATTCATAGCAGTTAAAGGAAGCAGTTCACATTTCCTAAAGAATGTAAACATTACTATTGTAACAATAGACTGCACTTAATATAAGAGCTAAACCTGGAAATACTGAACTTAAATACATTAATCAGCATGACAGCAAAGCAGATTGTTAATCGCTCTCTATATACCTGTGATTCAATCTCAGGCCAATATGTTTTCTTTCAAAAGTAGACACAGACACCTGATGAAACCTCAAAAAGTAGAAAGAGCATATGGAAAAGTTCAGATCCATTATTCAGAGCATTGAGTAAATCAGCAAACATAGCACCATAAAGAAAATTCTAACTCCACACTACCACGTATAATGGACATAGCCACCTCAGGGTATTTTCTCCCACCTGAGAACTGGTGACTCTGCCCACTCAGCGTTGTAGGATTATGATTAAATTCAGTTTTCTGGAATTCAGTTTCTTGCAGTGCAGAATTCTTTAAATTAGTATGTATGCTCCACTTGCTCTTCTATCTTTATTGCACCAGTAAATTGCAGCAGTTAGACTGGATGATGTTGCATCACAGCTCTGACTTTTATTAAAAAAAAAAGACTTCACCTGGCTTCTGATACCATGCCTGATCATACCTACAATTAACTGCAAGAGCAAGTGACTGCACCTGAACACCTAAGTATATTATCAGGGGATGACAGGCACATAATCAGAAATTTATCCAGATATATTTTTGAAATTATCTGTGCATACTTGAAATTATTTTTCAAAAAAAAAAATCAGGTAAAGCACTATCTTAAAAAAAAGATAAAATAAGATCAGTGAAAATAAAGAAAAGCTATTACACTGTATAGTAGTTTATTCTTAATGTAAACCTTCTTTATACCATTAGGCATCAGTAGCATAGTAACAAAAAGTCATATTCATGCAATAACATACTGCTTCCCAGTACGAATATTTATCTTTAAAATAAAACTAGTTGCAGAAACACAGAGGAAGAGCTTGTTGGCCTACTTGTCAATTATCAATGTGGGAAACCAAGAGACTATTATTTCTTGCCCTTTGATCTCTCAAGCCCCAGATGGTCCTACCATTATAAAAGCTCCAACTGGAATAGTTGCATTAGTAGATCACCCAAGCCTTCCCGACATGTCAGCACAGATTCTCCAGAAAATATATGTTTGGGTTGTTTTTTTTTTAAGTGTGCCTTGATTTCACAGTCCTACACTTGTACTTTTGAATATTTTTCTTCTCAAATTTTTGAACTCTTGCAAACTAAAAATGAAAATAAAGAGAAACCCCCAAAATAGTCAGGTATGACAGAATATAGAAAACCAATGCCATTTCAATCTGGGCATCACCCACCCACAGCTGCAACTTGCTCGGTTAGATAACAGGGAGGTGAAAGCCTCTAAAATGGTAGATTTTATTATAGAAATTGATGTTTTCAGTAGCCTTTGCAAGGAGTGACTAACACAGAAACAGAGCCTGGTGCTGTATTTTGAAATTACTGAAATAGTACCAAAAAATAAGGGTACTGGTTCTAATTTGTATGTTAGTGGGAAAACCTGTTTAATGCACAATTTGACTTTCAGAGATCTCTTAGTAAAGCATTTGTGCAAACTATAAAGATACTATAACACTTTCTACCACAAAAGACATTAACTATTCTGAATAATACAGGTATCAGGACAAAATCAACATGAAACTCAGGATACTGCATAATTTTAAATCATCATAGTTAGGAAAACAATACTATGTGATATGCAGTCACTAGAAAATAAAAGACATGTAACCAGATATTTCTTCTCCCTAGTTTAACGACAAGTGGTGAAGTACAAAATAACAGAAATTTTAAGGTCATTAGAATTTACTCAAGGCTAAGAACTGAACTTGCTTTCAGTGAAGGTAAGCTCTCATCATAAGGTTTTCAGGAAAGGGCCTGTAACACCAACCTGTCAAACTGAAGTTCAAGATAAAACCAGGATCTATTCTAGCATGAGCTGCACAAAAAATCTTATGGCAAAATAACACAGCAGGATTAGAAATTGCCTGAGCCCCTGCTATTCAACAAAGGTCAGAATTTGAGAACTGATTAGTTTATGTTGCTACAGGGATAACTGATGAGCACCCAGAGGATTTCAGCAAAATAATTAAAATGTTGCAAGACTACAGGCCAGGGCAAACTGTAACAAAGTTGATTTTTTCAGTGACCTTGAGTGGGAATTTGAAATTTTTTCCCAGGTTCTGTTCAGCCTATATAGGACTACTAAAGCTGTACCAGAAGCTACTTACGCTTAAAGTACAACTTTGCTCCTATATACACCTCTCTGTAGGGCTCAAAACATGCCTGAACATAAATATTGCACTGAATGAGATAGAAAGGACAAAATTCATGTGACCAAATGAAACAGCAAAGGTAGTTGGCCAAGGACCTCCTAGTCAATGGAGAGCTAAGCAATACGGTCAGTGAAATCTAGGATATGATTCACTTCATCCTACGGTTGTCTAAAATTACACAGATGAATCACACTCTGGAAGTGCCTGTCTCCCTCCTGATTATAAAGAGAGCCCCAGCAGAGGTAGACTGTAGATCTACAACTGCAGATGTCCGGAGCTGAGCGAGACGACCGCCATCCACACAAGCAAAACACATGTTTTCAACGCAGCTACAGCAGAGTCAGGCCAGAGTGGCAATTGGGCTTGCAACACTTCCTTGGGACTCCCTGTCATCAAGAATTAAGAGGTGGGAGGGCTAAAAATTTTGCAAATTTGCAAGCCCCTAAAATTTATTTAGTGCCAAAATGGACCCCCAGAGAACAAACTTGAACTTACTCTCAACAGAACAATTTAACTAATAGCTCCCTCCATACAATATGTGCTGGCATAGCCAGAACTCGGATCACCTGCCTCCTCTGTGCAAATTGAGCCAACTGATATAAGGAAAAGATCTACTTGTTTAAAAAGAGAGAGTATACCTGTGCTAGAGATTTCTGGAATGATTAGCTGCTAGCCTAAGAGTAAGGGATGAATGTCATCTCTTTGCAAAGCGCAGTGGAGAAAAATTAGTCACCATGAACCTGGAACGAGGCGAAGGGCAGAGCCACAGAAGGAACAAGACGAAGGCACAGGCCAGCAGAGACAAGGGTAAGGTCACGCGCGAGAAACAGCAGAGAGATACTTTGCACATGTTGTTAAGTTACCATTCACTAGGGATAAAAACAGTCTGTAGGTTTGGTAAACAACAAGCTAAAATTTTTGAACAGCCTGTTTATATGTTCATATTTATCTGTATACTTATGTTTGTACTGGGAGAAAGACTGAAGGTATGTATTTAAGTCCATCCACTACCACATCAGTTAATGCTTTACAATCAATGCTTGGCTCGGCCTTCAAAGTATGATAAGTTTTTAGTATAATGCAGGAACGAAATCTGTTTTTTTCCTAAAACTGATGAATATTCTACTGAAGATGAAACAATCCAATTATTCAGCAGTACAGGTAAGTGACCAATTTCATCTAAGATCTTACTGAAATGTGAAGTGGGATTTCTTTTATACTAAGTACTAAAGTTGAGCACTTAATTAGACTGTCAAATCTAGGAGGACCAGAAGTAGATTAAACTTGGGATACTTACACACAGTGATCAGACACTGCAGTGCAAAGGAAAGATTAGATGATCATAACTAATCTGAGTTTTAATTAAAATTTGAAAAGAGATAGGTTTTTTGCTGCCCACAAGGGGGAAAAAGCTGTTTTCCACCAAGACGATTTCTAGCATATTTTCCTCATTTCCGAACTGAATTTGGTGCCCAGTCTTTCTAATGTTATTCCCAGCCTAAGGAAAATTTTCCCACTTTGAGCACCTCACACCAAAGGCCACATTCCATTTTTATTTATTTACTGGTGGAATTGCCTCATACATTAATAAGATAGTGCTAAGACATTTTCAGTGTTGACGAACATTTGCTTAAGCTTTAAATGAGTGTATTACTTTAGGAGTGTTCACTGTCCTCCTCTCAAGCCTGCAGACAGTGGATGAACAAAGATCATTCTGCTGGAAGGAAAGAGAAGAATACATTACCTCGGTCTCTCACACGTATATGCAAACGCACGCTAAGGCCCAATCTTGCAGAGATTGTCAAATAAAGATTGCTGGTGATGACAGAGATAAAAGTCAAAACATCAGATAATGTGTCTTCTTTCTTATGTAGAGCTAGTTGATTTATTCATTACGATTCCATTACATGGTAAGTTTAACCCTTCTTCTCTTTATAAATTGTTTCCAGTTCATTTCTGACTCTGTAAATGTATTCATTATTCATAACTATTTTACAAAGTGTTTGAGTGAACAGTTTTAAACTTAATGACTCTTTAGCCTTTATTTCTTTTTCCACTGGCAGTGACTGGCCCAAGTCACATACAACTGACCTTAGCAAATACTTTAAGCACATGTTGATGCCTCATTAAAGTTAGCATATGTACAAGTTCTTTCTGGAATTAGGATAAGCAGATAATAATCCTATCAGCTTATAAATTAATGAAGGGCAAGTATCAAATATTGTTGAAGAGTGGCATTCCTTAAAGAAGAAAAAACGATACAACTCCAACCATTTAAAATGCTGGCTGAGAAACCACAGGAGGTGCTGGAAAGAGACCGAGGGGAACAGGCCCAAGGCGTCACTTAATATGTGCATGTTGTGGCAACCCACCTCCTAGATCAGAAGAGACCCATAAGAAAAAAAGAGTTTACAGGAACAGTAGGCAACCTGGAGGAGACAGAAGGGGCCAGGAGTCCGACAGCGGTGATGCTGTTTAGGAATTGTCCCAGAGAAAAACTGATCAAGCTATTCAAAGAAGCGCAGCCAGAGAGCTAAAATCTTTTCACTTGCCTACTGCCCTACTATTAGAGAAGAGGGGGAGAAAGGGGAAGAAAACAGTATCCGTTTCAAATGCATAACCCACTCTCAGAAGTAATGGAGAAAAAAAATATTCCACAACTTACTTAGTACTTACTTATATTCAAGGAAATGATTATTAAAGGGGCAACACGGCTCAAGGACTGCCTCTTGGCTTTCCCTCCTGGCATGCTATAAACTAACAAAATGGAAATAATCCTATTAGCCCATATGAAGCTACTGAAGGAGGACCACGGGCAGTTGTAGGAAAGCTACTACTCTCTACTCAGCAGCAATGTGGCCACATCTAGGTTATTCTGACCATTTTTAGACCCAATTCTTGAGGTGGGTTTCCAGAGAAGTTGAGACACTGGAGGAAGTCCAACAGAGGGCTACCAACAGAGGGTTGGGGCGCACAACCTGTGAGAGGAGACCGTGGGAGCTGCTTTTGTTTAGTACTCTGAAGAAGAGGCTAAGGGTGGACCAAATGAAGCCTACGGCAGCTTGAAGGGTAGTTACAAAAGACACCCAAGTGTCTTTTTTACTTAATTCCTATTCATTTTTTTTAAAAGCACCATGAACTCCTTCCCATGTTTCAGTACAATTCTCTCATCTCAATTCTACATTACTTATTTGTCCTTTGTCTGAGGTCATATCCCCTGCGCTTTTCTGCAGTATCTATGGCTCCTCTCTGTCTGTTCCTGATAGTCTTTTCAGGCTGTCAGCTGGGTTAAACACAGGCTGGCCATGATCAGCTCCAAAATACATAATAATGATTGGCTGGTACATGTATGTGACAGCCAACTGCTTCTAAACAAATGGGTGGCACTTGACTTCTCTCCAGTAGTGATACTAATACCCTTTCTCTTCTTTAGCTAGTGATTTTCAGGAAAATTATTTCATTAATTTTATTATACATAAAACCCTCAGGTTTGGTCAAATACTGCTGAAACTTGGAACAGGTGAAAAACTAATAGAAAGGGGAGGGATGTATGGACAGAGACTGCTTCCATCCCTAAGAGCACTTCTTTTCCAACAAAGGAAAAAAGAAATAGAGTGATGAATGTGAAGGAGCATTTAAAAGATCCTTAACACAACTTTCTAGGGAAATATTCAACAACTGCAGGATGCTCAGGCAGGAATTTTTGTCTCTTCAGAAGAGCTGGTGGAGACATAAAAAACTGGACCCAAAATTGGAGAAAAGACAGTTATGCAATTTTAAGACCATGCTAGGCTGCAAAAGAGAAATAGAGCAATGGACAACTCTTTGGGGGAAAGCAGGACATTACTACAGTGAACTGCGCTTGTCTAACCATAACCTTATACACAAGTGCACAGATAAAACACACCAGAAGGAGAAACTTCTGAAATGCAGTGAGTGTGTGAATGCTAAGAATCAACATGAAAGATAGCACAGGTGGAATAAAAACAGGGATTTAATAGCACCCAGCCTTTGCAGAGAGCAGCTACATTTGTCAGAGGCATTCTGAAAAAGCCATAAGATAAAGAAATAAAGCATCTAAAGTAAAAAAAAAAAAAGTATATATATTCTGTGTAGAAAAGAGAACAAAATTCTTTGCAGGAATTTGTACTGATGACTAGAAATAAGGCAAAGCTTAAATCATGCCATAGAGTACTGTGGGGGATATGATCTACCTATTGAGGTTTTGTATGAGTAAGATTAAAAAGTAAAGCACAATTTTGAAATGGCAAGCCTAAATGTTTCAGAATTTGGAGTACCTATTATAAAGCTAAAAATATGTCAAACACTAGGTCTCATTAAAAGAGTTGATTTCGTAAAAGAATGTAAGGCCATGCAGACAGAGATAAAAGCTGTAGATAAAAAAAATGCAATGAATGTAGAAATAGAAAAGGAAAATAAACTTCCCGGTTAGCAGACAAATTCAACAAACAGTGCTAAGCCAAAAACATCGGTAGTGCAATGATAAATAGCAGTCTGACGTTGAATATGCAAATGTGCTATATAGAATTCTAGATTAATGGTCCAAAATGGCATAATTAGTTTAGATATGCTAGATTGTTATTCACAATTTTCAAAAGTAGCATTATGAGAGAATACAGCTGCTAAAGAAGTAATCTCATGCTTGAATTGATATTTGCTGACATTCAAAATGTGGTAACAACTGATAACGAACTCCAATTTGATTGTTGTGATTTTAAGTGTTCTTCAAAACATGTTAGGTACTCATATCACTTCAAGGCCAGTGTATTCACAGTCCAGTGGTCTTCTGGAAGGTGTTAATTTTTTAAAAGAACGATCTAAGAGAATAAGAATGAAGTTCAGATCCACATGTGACATCATTAACGGGGCAGCATGTTAATGAATAACCTGAATATGAAGACTTTCTTCTGTCAAACTATTGTTCAGTCTAATGCTGAGAACAAGGCCATCCAGAGAAAGCCTGTAGAGCTTATTCAGTGAAGTCCTATAGGAACAAGATGAGACATCTTTACCTTCTTCCACAGAAGGAGGAAAGAGAGACAGACTCCAAATTTCAAAGATCAGAACCAGAACAAACTGTGGAGGAGCCAGTACAGAGAGCTTCAAGGAAAAGACTAAACATTAATGCAGGGACTTAAAATCCATGAGGTGCCCCAGAGATCTTCAGAACAAAGGAGGCAACCCAGAAACTGACTGACAGCCTTTGATGTTTGCATTATATTATCACTAATTCCTCTGTTTCCTTCAGGAGAAGAGCTGTAAAGCTATCTGGGCCACAAAGACTGTGATACATTCTGATCCCAGTCAGCAATTGTCATTTGCTGGTTGACAGAAACATGACAGAAAGGAGACATGCAGACCTTTTCCACTTTCTATCAAATGTATTAGTTAATGTGTTATTTTATCAAAAACACAAGAGAAAACTCTGATTGATAATTCTTTTTAAACAAAAGGAATATGATGCTTTTGGGTTGGCATACGTATCATGCAAAAAAGCAATATCCAAATTATGCAGAATCACAAAACTTCATACAACAGTGCCATTGTCTTTGATGTAGATAAAACTAAATATATTGAAAAAGTTTTCTTCTGTACTTTCTAGTTTCTGAAAATCCATATTCTGTTTTGTTCCTATAATCAATTTTTGTAATGTCAATACATTCTTCAAAAATTACCAATTTCCTGAAAAAACTTTTTCACAATGTTCTATACAGCAAAGACATTCTTAGCTCTCTGAAGTTCTGTTTAAGTTTTTGAAGGCCAAATATATCAGTGGTACTTTGGCACTTAACCAAGGAAGGAAATCTTTGTAACTGTTTCAATGTGTTATTGTCCATTGAGCCAAAACTTTAAGGCGATGCAACAGTGATATCAGGAGGAGGAAAGTGCATCCAGTCCCAGAAGAGTTCCTCCAGCGTTGCATGTGATGGGTGTTATGCTTCAATTCCTGACCCTCTAGGAGAAGAGTTTGCTTTGTACACCGATGCCTGGGAATCTGATATAAATGTGCTGTTCTGGTCAAGTAAAACTCTTAGTTCCAGAGGGCCGACAGAAGTGTTTGTATTACTTTATGTCAATATTTGAATTAAAAAAAAAAAAAACTCCAGTTCTCCTACCTTCGTTCATTTCAGCTTTCTATGTACCATTACAATAATGGGATAATAATTTTGCACACATGTGTAAGAATTGTCATATTCCTTTAAAGTTTATTTGAAAACTTACAGAAGTTCCTTTTCAAGTCCCTACCTTCACTGCAGTTCCAAGTGATACTTCTTGCTAATTTTCCCTAAAAAGATAGTCTTGATTGAAGTATTTACAAACTCTTAAGTCACAAGCTGCATGTCACAAGCCCAATTTGTTTCAGTTCTCGTTAACAGATTGGAAATCATTTTTATGCTTTTTAATATAAAATTGCTATAAAAGTATATATCTCTCTAGCACAGCAACATTAATATTGCTACCTTACGCTCAACTGGTTCAAAAGTCATTTAGCATTAAGTTTTTTTTTTTTTTCTCCCCTGTCAAGAACTTCCTGGGTTGCAACAAAGAGAAAAACAGCAGGGGGAAAAGTGCAATTTTTTTTTAAATGTCTGTAAATCTGTTGTCTGTTTCAACAGCCTCTCAAGAATATATTGCTGACTTGAGCTAAATTAATTTAAAAATGTATCCTACCCTTTTTGGTTTTCCTAATAAGATTGTTGATATTTGGATATTTTAGGCAGGTCTTGCTGACAAATAGTATAAAAGAAATTGCTTCTTTTGCAAGCAGAGTTTTGAACAAGAAGTTGCAAGAGCAAAAGGTGAGTAGTGACAAGTAAACTCAGAAAACATTTATTAATGGCTCTAGCTGACATAAACATAGCAAAAACATTCATCTAATTTGTTTTTTAAATGGTCATGCTGCGTGATTCCTGCAGTAAAGGGACTATAGCTGTAATTTAATTAAAATTTAAATAAAACGGAAGACAAGCACTACGCTACTTATTATTAGTCTCACATGCTTTGTTTATATAGATAGGGTCCTGCAGAACTGTCCTAGAAGCAGTGTGTTCATCCAACAAACAAAAAAAATGACTTCTAGCTCAGGGAAACTATTTGCCACCCAGCACGAATCGCTGAGAGGGTGTATCACGTGAAATGTTTCTGCATGTTTGATCTTTCCTTACATTTTCTCCTGAAACAGACACTGCGGCGGCTCCCAGAGGCAGCATCCTAAGTCAGAGGGACATTTGTTGCAACCCCAAGGAGACATCCTTACCCGTATATCTTTAAGCAAGTGTGTGCTCCAGGATCCATCTATGAACTCTTCCCTCTCGCAATGCTAATTGCAACGGCACTTGCAGTTTCACGTAGTTAGTACCATGTTATCAGCTGGTTTCCTGGATCACTGGTAAGAAACTGCTCTAGCAAACAAACGCAATTCCCTCTTGGAAAAAGCAGTGTGGGAGATACTACTGTCCTCTTTTATTATTGCTTATGCTGAGATTTCAAGTACTGTTTTTGCACTGACACTTGAATTATAATGTACAGTCATTTGTCCTCCTATCTCACTTTCCATGCTTCTCATCTTATAGGTCAACTGTCACTGAGAAACTATATTTTTCCAGCATCTTCCTAAGAATCCTAGTGACGTGATCACTTTGCCTTCCCGTATTGTTCAGACAAGAGGAACATAAAAACACATTTTATTCTCTAATACCTTTTTATATTTAATACCGTTTCAGTAAATAGGCATTTTGAACATTTTAACTCAAGCAAGGAAAGTATATGGATGATTTATCATACCTGGTATATTCCCTGTAGTATCTCTCCCAGGTTGGACAGCGGGTACATTGAAGACCAACTGTACGGATAAGTACTTCCAGTTCCTTCAGGGACTACTCATTCACCCTTCTGTGCTGATATTTGTTCCATTGCCCTTTTCCAATGTTTTAATCCCATCTAAATAGCATCTTTTGTACTGTTTTTTTTTTAATCAGAGAATGAGAAATGCTTTATCTCCTCCTAAATTATAAATTATTAGAAGGGTCAATTGCAGAAAATGAATCATCATGATTTTTTATGTTTCAAAAAGGCTAAGAAGGGCTTTCCCCATATAGATATTCATGTTTATAAAAAAGTATCTTCAGAAAATCTTCATGAAGGGTATTTTGAAAGATTTGACTGAACCAAGGACAGTAGGACTATAAACAAGGGTATTTGAATGCTAACAGATTATTTCTTTGTAGGAAACTATCCAATATTCCCAGGCATTCATTTCTATCATCAATCTACTAGTAGACAGTGTGGACAAAGATAGACTCAATGTGTAAAAAAGACATAAAAACTGTATGATTATGAAACCTGAATTCAATTTTAGTCAAAGTCCTTTATTAAAGAGATTATGATCAAGTGTGTCACTCATCTAAGCCTCTGTTGCATGCTTCACTATTGTAGCAAACATTTTAGCTGGCAGAATCACAAATGATATTTTTTCTTCATATCATATTGTCCTTTGTGCTAAAAGGACCTGACCATACAGTCTTCCACCTGGGGCTTGATTTGGATACATGCACCACTTAGAAGTGATCAACAAATAAGGAAAAAGTGAAGACGTAAATTCTGTGAGATTTTTCCATGGAATTTTTTTCTTAATTCAATGGAAAAAGAAAAAAATAAGGAGATTAGTAATTCTACAAAAAGACATCAGGAAGTAAAGAAAAAAGGAAAAATAGGGCATATCAGAAAAGTAAAAAGAAATCCCAGAAAGCCACTGAAGTTAATAACCTACAAAATATCTTGCCCTTAACTGTATATATGTTTAATAAAAATGGAAAATGTCTGATATAGACATTATTAGAAGTTTTCCTTATCTTGGGGCTAAGCATAACTGGCCTACTATGTAGCCTTCTAAGAAGAATTTGCCCTGCTCTTTACAAAAAGGAGAGAACAGATGCTGACCCTATCCCTTTCAGGGAAGATGTGCATCAACAAGTGGAACTAGCCTGCACTCTTTCTGAAAGGACAAGAACTGAGTATTACACAGAAGAAGGAAATAAGACCTCTGAAAAAATGAAGCCCTTTCTTGAGGTTAGCTGAGCCGTTTGTGTGGGCCTGACAATGCCTTGCTTATCTATACTGCAGGAATGGTCACGTTATTTTGCACACAATTTGCAGGAGAGCATCATTAACTATGTAAGTGACCGTCATAGCCACCATATATGATCTATGGGCTAGTTGTATTATATCTGATAGCACCAGCAAACAGCAGAGTCTTCACTTGGCATCCTGGTATCAGTAACACATTAATCTAATAGCCTGTTTTGATTATACTGCTTCCATATTCCTGTCCTCACTAAACACTTCAGAATTTACTAAGCATACTGAGATTAAAAAAAAATTGTATCTTGTCAATCATTTGAACAAGGGCATTCTATTATCTTTTACAAGTATTTTAAAGATTCTCATCACTGCGATACCCACAGGTCAAGAAAATTGCCTGCAAAAGTTTTACATCAGTTCAAAGCATATATGCATTTATGTATGCACCTCCAAAGCTCATGAGTAAAGAAAGATAAAGGCAAAAATACTTTCATTCTCAGCCACAATTTCAGTCTGTGTGTTCCTTGTGGCTCTTATTCTATAGACAAAGTAAGATACAAGTCCAAATTTCAAAGCACAAACTTCTTGAAAATATGAGGTAACGCCAACAGACAGATCTACGGAGATAGGGATCCTAAGAAGGGGTTGGTTTGTTGATCAAAGAGAAGCACATATTAGAGGGGTCACATTAATTTAGGTGAACTGACAAAAATCTTATAGAAGATAGGGAGATAGAATAGGGTGAGTATCATTTGAGATGGTCTGGGGTATCCCACCAGCCTCCAGATGCTCCTCCGGAATGGTGTGGGTCTCCTTCAGGTCTTCTGGCCTACCTAACATCCCCGTGGAGGGAGCCTGGCAGGGGACAAGTGAACCCTGTTAAGGAAACGTGAATGAGCACTGGCTGTCCATGTGAGGGCAATATCTGAGTCACTCTCTTGGCTTCATCAGCTGTACTGACTAGATCTCAGTTACTGTTATCTCAACATCTAGCTCACAAGTAAACACATACACGTACAGACCTTAATTTAGGTGCCTTAGTGAGATGAATTCTTCTGCCCTCTCCAGAAATACCTAGATATTTGGCTTCCCCATATTCAAACTGAGAGAGAATACTAGCTTTTCCACTCATACAATGTTGCCCTGAGGAAAAAATATTTTCATAAATGTGCTTGCAAAGCTCAGCCTTTAGAAAACGACAGGTGAAAGATCCTCAAGTACTATTCACATATATTCAGCCAGGAGTTACTACAATTCAGTTTTGTCTGGAGTTGGCTTCATTTGGATGGGCTGCTCGACAGGAAACGATTCCTCGGAAAATTTTTGATTCACCTGGAGCATTTGTTTCCAAACAACAAGCCCAAATTCCAAGTACAGCCATGTTCCAGGAAATTAATTTTTTGTCAGTCATGCAAGTATTTGGGGTAATATGACATTATTAGTTTGTAAATGGGATTGAAACTGGAATTTATTTAGGAGTAAACATCCAAGTAGATGATGCAAGTGAAAAATAAGCCATTCCAACATTCCTTTTGGAAAAATTTGAATTACAAAGATTTGCTGCTCTTATATCTGTCTGCAGCAGAGACATGTTTCATGTGTTAGTACCTAAAAAGTTTTTTCACCTTATTATCTTTCACTTTATACACATTTTGACTTGTTAATTCAAGTTATGCCATTGAGAGAGCAAAGAGCATTGAGAGTTAGCCTTGGAAAGAGCACAGAGATTAATTTTAGAAAGTTGAATAAAAATTATAAGGGACATAGCCGATGCCACTTGTATCGAAATCAGAATAGTTCTTCTACTTATCTGAATTCACTAGAAAGTTAAGAACTGTTCCTAGCCAAGTGCAAGTTATGTGTCTTGCGCACAGGCACTTTGAAATACACTGTGGTGAAGAAATATACATGGCAAATCATTTTTCTTTACTGCTGATTTATTTATATGACATGAACTTTCATGGGTGCTAAAATTTAGCTGTAGAAGGAATGTCAGACACAGAGATCCATCGTGAAAGAGGGAAGCACCTCTCCTGAAATTGCTTCACCAAACCCTTGTGGCAGACTCAGAGAGTCAGACGGCATTTTACTTGGATAAGGACTGCATTTTCAGCCTTGAAATTCGGTATGTTCCAAAACTCCTGAAGATGTCACCTCAAAAGGAACAAAAAATAGCTCTGTTCTGACCCTCACTCCACTGACCAGTGTTTCTAATACCATTTTTACTATACCTCTGTGAGAGAGCTTCTCTAGGATGATCCTTAAGCGCTGAAGAACGGGGGGTGAAATGTCATATTTATATATGTCTATTACTGGCACTCGCTGACATCTCCCAAATATTCCATCTGCAGAAGAGAGAAAAGAAAAAGAAAGAAATACTTTTCATTTTCTGAGAGGAAGAAATGTGTGATGAGATGTGCATTTGCAATGTATCCTAATTATTTCCTGCAGGAACCTTTTAAAACACACTTTAAAAAGTTATCAAAGGACTACTGAAGCCATGAGGCAGGGTATTTTATATCAAAATAAATACTGGAGGAATATTAGTTGGGAGAAGATTCTATTGTATAAGTTATGAGTGTGGTTTATTTTATAAAGTAATTTCAGACTTCTGGCTTC